TCGCCCTATAGATTAGAGGTAGAGTTCGAGCTACTACAATGAACGCCGGAGGGACCATTCTGAGAAAGCTAATCTATATCAAGATGTGGGTAATATTTTACAGTAGGCCTCTCATCAAACAAAGACCTCCCAAATGGAGGCGACATTTGGTTCCATTGTGTGCTGAGAAATGTGGAAATGAAGATTAGAAGTGCATTTCTTCTCATGTTAGGGCAAAATGAGGCTTGCAGAGCGCTCGAAGAGCACGGGATTGAGTGATTTGCTCGGTATAGCTGCTGACGGAAGTGTGTGGGAATCAAATGATTGAGAAGCCAAGTTGACAATGCATACTGGAAACTTTTGCGGGTGCAAAATCGATTCAAAACGAAAGTGACAAATTTGGCAGGAAATTTCTTCGCAAGAAGGATTAGACTTTACGAAAAAAAAAAANNATAAACACGAGCCATCTTTGCAGCAGGAGATAGGAAAGTATTGAGAGCAGTGCCGACTCTGCCTTCTCGTTTGTGGAAGTGTCTGCTTCGGAATCTCTGCTTCAAACAATGCTTCGGAAGATGCTCGGACAAAGTGACGCACCAAAACGACACTTAAGTTTTTTAATGGGCATGGTGGGGCTCAAGCAACTACACGTTCTGTATGACCGGACAAGAAAACAAATATAGCGATCAAAGTGCACAAGGATCAACTCTGAAAGAGCAGCTCGGAAGCTCGTCATTGTTGTGCTCCAAGTTTCATATTCGCTTTTGCCTTTTGCCGTAGGTGTACAGAGAGTGTATAGCTCTCGTGGAGCTCAAATAAGAAGACCAAGTCCCTGAATCTCGAACAGTGTGCTCAGAGAACTGTGGTCCTTCATGAGAAAGGCATTGACATATGATACTTGGCAAGCGACCCTGCCGTTGACGTAAGTTTGGGCCAACTTGCAAAGGTCCTAACAAACGTAGCATCAGTGAAATAGAGGATTTCTGTCAGGATCTGATGGCAGATTTGCCGACACGTCAGCCATTCAAGCTATTTATTCGCTGAAGTGTAGTTTGCACTCAGAAAAAGTCATTCCAATGAAATAAATGAGGTTTAGTGATAATCTCTGTAATCGGCGGTTCTCGAAAAACGGTGTGCAACCAACCTTATGAATTGTATGGCACAAACAACAGATTATAGGATGGAATTATTCGGCACAGATCACACAGCACTCACCGCTGATGCTCTATGACAACGTGTGCTGAATAATTTCAGCCCCACAAATTTAATAATCTGCAGGAATTAAAATTGTATGGTTTGAAACGTCGGGAACGTCGGGTGGTGTTTGGCTGTTTTAGGAATTCTACACAAAAACCGATAATCTCGATTATTGTCAAATAGTGGCATGCTTTTATGAAGTTCTTCTTCTACCGCTGTACTCACTCAATTTTGACTCGATCAGGTGTCCGCTTTTGACCAGATAAGGAAAGGTAAACCTGACCGATTCGGTTAATAAGATGGGCCAAAATCACTGAGTCGCAAGTGTAAAAAAGGAGAAATAGGGAAAAAGAAATCGCAGTTTTCCTGCATATTTCCCTATCGACTGAGTTGGGTGACATGCTTGAGTGAAAACAAAAAGTACTATCACAGAAGTGGGTGCGGGGCAACATGAGGAGCTGACCAAGCTAGCTGAAGTCTTTCACCATTTCAGAGAACACTTCAAGTGATACTGATCTAAGGGCCCACGTCAGTAATTTATCAAAGAGAAACAAACCGCCTCAGGGAGAAGTCACTAAAATTGGAAAGCTCAGTCTCGACTAGACGGCTACAACGGAGAATCTCAGAATACAGCCACTTCTGCGACAAAAACTGTTTTTTTAGAATATTCCGATTAAGTATTGTTTCAATAAGAATTATATTCTGAGGCTACAATACAAAACTTTTTTGTTTGTTTTTTTTTGTCGATCTGGATTTCAAAGAAATCGCCTAGCTACGAATTCAGAAACTCGGCAGTTCTTTAATGCTTTACATCACCAGAAGCTCATCGCGTTCCTCTCTCTCCATAATTTGTCCAGGCCGGATTTTTCTGCTAAAAAAAGAATCCAGGACAACCAAAAACCCTGTGCTCAGTGGTAAACTTTATCCTAGCCGGCTTTAGCCGCTGAGGGAAAGTAATAGGTTGATGCATAATTCTTGCGGATTTTTTTTGCGGCTTCTTTTCTCTCCATACAACTTCAATACCAAAGTCGGGATTTTTATAGAAATAGTCTACTCGCTTTCCTCTATAGAAATATGTCTAGAAAGGGATCTTCTTACTCGCCTTATTATGCTCTATTACTTCGAGAAATGATGGAGGGTAGAACACTCATTACGAATCATTACGTGACCTCAACGAACTTTTTGGCTATGGAATTGCAGCCAAAGCCAACTGAGGACTGGGATTTCCTCCCAAATCTCCATATTGACCCACAGAAACCCTATAAAATATCAGGTCACCCGTTCGTTGAAAGGTTGGCTAGCAAACAGGCTTTACGACGAAATGGATGACTTGATAGCCGATGTCAAGATAAAGATAGCTTCCAAGGACCGAAACTTCTTCGCCTGCGAAATTCGGCCGTCTAGTAAATGAGAAGCAGTGCTTGAAGTAGGTGGTGAATACGTTCTGGAGTAATTATTTGAACATGTATTTGTTGAATCTTTTCATTTTTCTTTTAAATAAAACTTGCTGAAAAAAAATCCGCAATTATTATGTATCAACTTAATACTTCCTCCTGGGTCCTCTCCTACACCCAAAAAGCAGCAGAGCTTGACGTGGCCTATCGTCATCCCTCCCTCTGCTCCATCTATGGGTACACAAGAAAATAATCATCGCGAAACAGATCCTCAGAGATAGAATATTCTGTCGCTCCTTGATTAATTGAGCGCCTATTCCCCAAAAAACATCAATGTCCATCCAAGCGCACTGTCATGGAACCCAAATTGCTCTTTTACAGTTGAAAACCGCTATTCATATGAAAAGGTCGTTGATTTCTAGGATGTTTGAAAGGTGAAGGAAAATAGTTTTACAAAAGTCCAGATTAATTCCTGGGATGTTCTACAAGCTAAATTGAAATGAAAGGACCTTGTCTACTTCCACGCGTATTTTACATCGGAAGAGGCCACGATTTAGCGTTTGCTCGACCGAATCGAGGATCGTCCTCGACCTACCTAGTTTTGGCTCCAGAGCTATGGATCTAAACATGCACAGAACCGCTTGAGAGGCACTGAGGTGAAACAGTTGACGCGAATTCCGATGTTCTAGAAGGGAGGCTGGATTCGAACTCGTAAAGAGATAAATGTTGAACATGTGGAGACAGTCCGGTACTTAAAGTTCCACCTGGGCATGATAAAGTAGCCGGATATCTTATGTACAGTAAAAGGATAACGCTCTTAGATAACAGCTTCAAGAAAACTTCCGGAACTTTTGAGAGAGATTTGGACTTCCGCTAAGTAATGTCCTTATATGACAATTTCAAAGACTTCCGGATCGTGCAAGGAAAATCCGGACTGTCCCTAGGTTTTTAGTAGCTACTTTTCGGACGATCTAACGTGTCCATAAGAGATATCCGTCAGATACTGTCGAACGAAACCCTCTCATCAAGCTAACATATTCAAAAGTCCGTAGAAGCAGTCGGTTAGCATCCGATCAGACGTCAAATTTATAAGAAACACCAACTCAAGAAGTGAGTTGAATTCTTGACGTTTCCTGTCTCCTACTTGCCGAATGCACTTGCTTTGGATAAGATCCAACTGTATCGAGTAGGCTCGCTCATCTTTGTGCCCCTCTTCCCATCAGAACTGCATCGGAATGCAGATACGAAAAAAAGACCGGAACGCCACTTAGAAACCCCAAAACACTTCTGGCCTGGAAGTCAATTCCCATCTGAGATGAAGTACAGCTAACTTGAGCACTCTCTTTTGAAAAAAACACCCTTTTAAGAGCAGCAGCCGCTCTCATTTGTATTATGCCTTGGGCAATCTTAGACAGCCCATATGTTCGTCAACTTTTTTTTCTTTTTCTCGGTTATCCTATGATCAAATTACCGATTTTTTATGTCGGCACTGCTGAGCATGTACCGTAGGGTTGTCGCAAATCTTTGGCTAAGATAATGAGGCCCTCATGAATGCAAGCCTTGCACACCCTTGTGTTCACTGAATTGCACCTGAGCCCCCTAGTTTTTCTAGTTCCTAGACCTTCTTCCAGCCAGGGGGGCGAGAAAGACGCTGCCTCATTTGAGGACGCCACGTCTCTTCAGGTTGATCCGCCTACCCAGTCTTCGGGCCGCTGCCAGTGCTATCCACCATCTCCAGAATCTATGTCTTCATAAGCTGGTGTCCGTGTGGGTAACATCACCCATTTAGAGTTGAGAGGAATTTTACCTATGTTGTGGGAGTTCGGGAGAAAATACGTGGTCAGTCTAAACAACTATCATTCCATGTTAGCAAAAGAAAGTTGGATTGGACACGAATGTCGAGACGTGAGAAATGAATGTGAGAAGGTGAAAAACGGGGCGGCACTTTTCTGAGAAACTGTTACATGCAGAAATATAATATATACGAAGATTGCTTGGGACGGGAAAATTCCGGTGGGCGGCTCTGACATAGGACCTAAGAACCAAAAATATCGAATTTCATACCTATGTATCCTAGGAAAGGCATGATTCCTGAAAGCAACCGCTTAGATACTACCACTGCTACCTACAAGTATATAGAAGGGAAAGGTGACTCCGCCCGACTTCTCTGGTATTTTATACGTGTCATACTGTAAGAGAGCACAAAATTCTTGCGTCAAATGAATGAATAATTAAGAAAGAGACAGAGAATGAAGGGAAATCGGTGCATGCATGAATGCCAAGGCTCATGACGAATATAATCGAGCCTTCTCGATAGCCGACATGTCGTCTTCGTTCCCAAATTGAATTTATCCAAAAAAGGTAAACGAAAAAAGCATTCTGGGTAGGATAGCCACTTACCACTACAACAACAATGCATCTTCTGAGGATGATTCACGTGATAGTGACGGATTCGCTTGGAGAAAGTTTCTTTTCTAAACATTAAATATATACATTGTATTATAAACAAAAGATATGAACCATAGGTGCAAAATGGTTAGAAAGACCTTTGAAATTATTGGGAAACTCACCAGTAAAGGCCAAAGAAAGCGTAAGTCCTAGGTGCACAGAGAAGGTCTAACTGCTACGGCCGGATTCACCCGTTTATTAGACCTCCGCTAGGCTGAAATTGAAGGAAAATAGGAGAGCTTTCTTTTTAGCAACAATGTTCAAAGAGCTCGAATAACAATCATATGAGCAATACAAAAAATCACTCTTAGAATGACTTCAAGTTTTCACTATAAGCGATTTCATCTGTGAAAAGGTCTAATGACCGCCCAAGGAGCTAATTGATGTCTTCGCCCTTCCATTTCCTCACTAAGTGAATCGTGCAAATGTCACGAGGACAGAAGGCTATACTCTACGAAGTTCGCACCCGCACTAATGGGCTTAATTATGTGTCAGAGAACTGAAGCCCCCATGTTCTTTGGATGCATTGTTCAAAGTTTTAAAATGTACCTGAGACAGGCAGGTGCCCGCTCAGATCAACTGAGTCCTACATTCTACAGGATCAATCAATTGGTGCCAGGCTTGTCTGGGAGGACTGAAGAAGAAAGCTTAGTCGTATACCGGCTGACTAGCCCAGGCCATGTGTAGACCACATACACATTCACTTTCAATCCCGCTACGCTTTTGGAAATTTGGAAATCACTCTTCCAACAGCTTTATAAGCTCAGTAGGATTTCGAATTCTAGAAAAATCTCACATGCAAACACTTCCAGAAAAAGGCGATTTTTAAAGTATTTAAAAAAGGGAGAATGGACCAGGAGAAGGAGTAAGTAAAAATACAAGGACCATCGATTTTCACGCAGACAAAACGGCTGTTTTCGCATGAGCTCGAAGAAAAGAGGGCGGAATGAACATGAGTCTTGAGATCTCTTCAGGGCAGACGAAAGAGATTCTAACAGACAGTTGTTCCTGACTTACCGAGTACTGTTTAACAACAACTCTCGTATAGGAAGAACGTATCCGAAGTGGGTTTGCTCAGGCAACTGAGGCATGCTTCGGTCTCACTACCTACCCCAACCGCTCGAAGTTTTACTCAGGTTACAGTGAATTTTGACAGGTAGAAGGAGACAGATGTTTGGGCGGCTGCTGTAGACGGACGTTTAGGGCATAAGCCATAGCCCATCTTAACGAAGTAAACATTTAGTACACCACTCAGGCGAATTGCAACAATAACAACATTACACTCGACAAGTACTATCAACTCATAGTACGGGACCACTGAAACGAAGATGAAGATGTATCAAATCCTATTACGCGGACTACGGCTACTACGACTACCATCAAAACACCAAACATCTTTCAACACTACAGTTGGACGAAAGTCACGATTAGTCAAGGAAAAATCCAAGAAGAATATCTGGAAAAGAGGGTGGAAAACGGGTGAGTCACCACATGGATCAATTTGCAAGCGCTGGAACTCGGTGGAAAAATCGTACACTGCTACGTCCCCAACATTGGCCATATTGGGCGGCACTGTCACCAATCACCCTGGTGTGGGCACTTCTCCCCGAAAATCGCGCCATGTATCGAAGGAAAGATTGAATTCTCACTACGGATACGGTAATCGCCACGAGACCACTGTCGCTTGCCGTGGGACTTGGGGAAGAAGTACCGCCACCTCTATTCAACCGCTGTACATAAGGCAAAAGTTGTGCAATTCGGAATACTTACATATTTGTTGGCAACGACCGCTAAGAAAAGTTGGGATATCTATCAAAGGGGCCCGTCCACCTCAGTGACACGATTACAGGGTCACGATCAAATTTTGTAATTTCATATTGAATCACGAGCAGGTCCACAAACTTTCTAAGAAAGTACAAGAAGAGTGGCTTTCCCTCTTATAGGACATTCCAATAAAAAATAATATAAAGAAATTGTCATTGTAATAGGATAAAGAAAGTGGGGACTTGAACTCTCATTCCATAGTAGTATAGTAAGGCGTCACCGCCTAGGATCCCCTTGACCTTGCCATTAGTCACGTAACAATTTTGACCTTATAATTCGCTTACTTCACTTCTCTATAACTTTTATTTTCCAGATCTCACGCTACGATGCTGCAATTACATTACTACTTAACTACTTTGACGTAGATGTTCCGTATCTTACGCTAAGAAAGTGGCCGACTTCCAAGAAGAGCCCTGACCGTGACCCGGGATTTCTACCATGTCGGAATCTCACTCATAGATCCCAAATTCTTTTGATCCGTAGGTCGGGAAGGGATCGTTGGCAGTGAACGACACTTTGAAAAGCATCAGCTCAATGGTGCAGCATCTTTTCCCATTATACGGTCGACATACCTTAACGAGCCCTCATTTGAAACAAATTTTCATTCGGCTCGCGATTAGAACAAAGTTTAAATGGCCCGCGGTCACGAAACAAACAACTTAGAGATTCTTGACATTACGAAAAACAAAGAAACTAAGGCTCGACAGAACTATGTACCAGCTCTAAGTTCCTCTTCATCCATCCTGTACCTTTTTGTTTAGCTAATCTTGAAAACTGCTCCTAATAGGGACATGCTCAAACAGAAATCATGTGGGGGCGAGAATCCCGCTTCACCACCGACTGCATCTCTTTTTGGAGAGTTTCTAAGAGGGAAAAATAGGAAGGAGAAAGAGGATGAGTGGGAAAACATAATGGCTTGAAACGGAGCCCACCGCCATTAGCTGTGGGTGGAAGAGAAGAGTAGGAAATTGAATGAGTAGTAGTCAACACAACGAACTCCCACAAGCTCTTACTGCGTTCAGGTTAAGCCGAACGTAGTGAAAGCGGCCGAACAGCATTGAATAAAAATGCTCAAAAGCCATCTCCTTACTTTGATTAAAAATGGAAGAATCTTCTATAATACCAGTACTTTGAACCCAATAATTTGAACCATTACAGTTATACTTGTATATGCATTGAAATGGCTTCCAGAAGAGCCTGCTGAAGTACTAGAACTTTGGAGCTTTAGAGCTGCCTAATGCATAAATTGGGATATGTAGCCTGGATTCTGCGGCTACATATGATGATATTAGAAGAAGGTGACGTAGTGGTAAGTGGCGCAATGGCACAACCACATGGGCCGGGTATTGAATCCCGGATCGATGCTGCCCAGACGATTCAAGGTTCCCAACACTCCATGGTCGGTTAAACGGTACCATTCGAGAGAATAAAAGCGCTGACTCGACATTATATATGCCTGAAAAAGATAGATGATTCTAATTTATAGGGCCAATTAGATCCCATTCATCCTCACATGCGATTTTTCTCCTCTTCAAAGAAACCGGAAGTATGGGAACGGTTTTTGAGAGCATCCAAGATACGTCCCACTCTCTCCCTGCCCCGGATTTGAATTCATAATTGTTTTCACACTGTTTCCTAGAGGAGCAGTTTTGGACCTTCCTGTAGAGAAGTAGATGGTGAGAATTAAGTCCGAACTGAGAGTGGTGAAGTCTTGGATGAAGTCTCTCAGTGAAGTTCGGGTAGACGAAATTGAAAGTCGAGAAGTGTGGGTAAGTGCATAACCGAATATGAACGAAATTCCCACACTCACTACCCTCGGAAAAAATGATTTGCAATTGCTCCTCTTTTAGAGTGATACAGGCTGGAACGTCACAACTAGAATAACTATTATGAGGGAAAATAAGTATTGTTAACCGCTAATTTAACGGAAACAAACGACCCCTCAACATCAGCTGAGGGCTGCGTCATCAGCGCCTACACAATCTCTTCACTTCTTCGACAAGGAAGTAATACGAGCTCGTACATACACACAGACTCCGACTCGAGCCAATTTTCCGGTACTCGGCGCGAGAGTTTGAGATTATGGACTACTTCCTGCTCCCAAACCGCTCCTACCAAGTCAGGTTGGCGCGATGGGTCGATGGACTCTGGCTGAAAGCTCGAGTTGCCCAAATTCGCTTCAATCAGATCCAGAGGAGAGGAACGCCTGGTGTGTTGTTTTCAAACTCGTTAGTGATGGATAGCAAATCGATTATGCGGATCTGGTATATTACAGGGTGGGCAAAAAAACCGGCAGGACCCCCCCCCCTCCCCCCTCCCTTCGAGAA